GCCACGTCGAGAAATAAGAACGTTTGCTCAACTTTAGATAATACTTGAGACAACTTCTGCCACGCTGGTCTAGCAAGTCAGCTCTTTGCTCCCTACAAACCCCTTGCCCGACTACACATGGTGGATGTCAATTCGAATGGTCGGCACAGGAAGCATGCGACGGACACGTCTATCTCCCGCCAAGGGTGGACCAGAGTTCTTCCTGATCTTAAGTTTGACTGTTAATAGTGACTAGCACCCGGATATACCTTATTTCCGGTTTTGTTGCTACTTGATCTCCAAAACCGCCATCCACTCTTTTATTTCCCATTTCCTTTCGCTCAAATTGGATGCTGTTTAAAAGTCAGGACTTCAAAGGAACCATCTGCTGGTCCAGTAAGTAGAAACATTTGAGATCGAGATAAAACTACCTCTTCGCTTTCTACGAAGGTGTCCAATAATATCACAACATGACCGATAAATATGCAAAGTCAAATTGCATTTTGTACACATACGACATGACGTGCAGGTAGCTTAAAATTTATCAGTGGAGATGGTAAATCGAGTTCAAATTTCGTATCAGTCTCTTTTCTAATCCTCACCGCCTATAGGTTAAAAAGCTACGTAGCCTCAGCTCTCTAGCCTTGGGTAATTGCCAGTCTTGGAGAAGGACTACTATGATATTTCTTTATGGCATTGGCAACCACACTCATTGTTCGGGAGTACACCGGTTTTTGCGTTGTTTCCATTGCTAACTTGAGGCCAATATACTAAAGTTGGACAGCATCTTACTGAAAATCAAACAATACCGTATTTCACCGGAAATGTTTCTTCTCGTGGTGTTAATCACTACGACGCATATGATCTGTAGTTTCAGCGCACCTCTTTGCGACTACTTGGTCTCAGAGTGACTGCTAACCTGAGATGGAACGAATACATTGAGTCAATAACTTCGTCCACCGCTAGGAAAGTTGTCTCCCTGTGCCGCGCCAGGAAATCTTTCTCGTCGGACTCGATCCTTCAAATCTACAAATCAACCATTCACTCTTGCATGGAGTATTGCTGCCATATATGGTCTGGAGCCCCTTCTAATTGTCTAAAGAACCTTGATAAAATCCAAAGACGGATATGCAATGTAATTGGCCTTGATCTGGCATCTCATCTGCAGTCGCTCTCTCACAGACGTGCCGTCGCATACCTCTGTCTTTCTTTTTTACAAATACTTTCACGGTAACTGCTCCGATGAGCTGCTTTCGCTGGTTCCAAGACTTCATGAATTTAAGCGTTCAACTAGGCTGGCATCTCGCTCTCACCCTTTCATTGTCGAAACTGTTAAATGTAGCCGTCTCTTCTACTCCAATAGCTTCATGTCTCGCACTTATCTCCTGTGGAAGTCCCTCCCCATTTCTTGTTTTCCTGATAGCTATAATCTCCAACTATTCAAATGTAATGTCAATCGACGTCTCCAGTTGCCTTGATTTATCCCTCATCCTTCTCTTCATCCTTTCCTCTATCATTCCTATTTGCTCTCACTCCAACTCTCTGTAACCCCTTGCGTGCTAGTGGCTTCCCGCCTTGCTTGGGGTGAAACGCTTAAAAAAAAACCCCACCTACACCGAGGTTCGAGCGGTGTATAAATAGCGGTGTCAGGCTACTGACTACAGTGATTATTGAGTGGAACTATCCAGTTGAATTATTGTGAGTAGTTCATTTTTTTTTATTTAGGATTTACCGGACGTTAAGCAGAGCCGCGCTGCTAACAAGGTATTCACTGAAATTGTTATTTATAATTGGTTGACTTTTACTTCTTTGTTCTTGTTAAGTATTTATTTGCGGTTGTAATTAAATACTGTTTTATCTTAGCATTGAAGTCTTGAGTTATACTTAATTATTAACGGCCACCGTACGCCACAAGAAGTACCACGCTTAAATTTATGTAGTCGGCACAGCATGGAAAAATGTTCATCAGAACAGTTGCCATGAAAATATTTGTAGAAAAGACAGAGGGAAGCCAGATCACGTCTGTAAGAAACTGACTGCAGTCGAGATGCCAAGTCAGGATCAATTTTATATTGTTGCTCCTTTACATTTTCCCTTTGTAGTACCTTGTATTTATTCTTGTTTGGGTGCTCCTTGAGGTAGGGTGCCGTTATAACGAAACACCACCAACAAGACAATGAAATATAAGGCAAGACATCTATATGAGTAAAGTAAAGTAAAGCAATTATAAGACAATAAAAAAAATAAGGTGTTCATACATAAGCCGGATACAGTAAAGTATTTATAGCATTCTGAACTCAAGGTAAGAAAACAATATATGGGTAAGATAAAAAAAATCCGTTTTTATTGTCTAGGAAAAAATCCCAGCATAAATCTGTAGGATTTTTTTTACATCACTTCAAGGCTGTAATGCCACTAAGACGCAGGGTTGGGGTACATGTTACATGAAGTGAACGAGAATGAGAAGTTAGGAAATGGACAATAAAGGAATGGGGTTCAGTAAGATAGAAAATGGCGAATGACGTTACATTTAAAGTTTTGAAGATTGTAGGCAACAGGTAAATAAGAAATTGGAGGGGAGTTCCACAAGCGAGAAGTACGAGAAAAGAAAGTATTACACTAGAACAGCCGGCTGCATCTAAATAGTTCAACAAACGGTGTAACTTATTTGCCAATCTACTATTATCTGGGGAAAGGGAATTTTTAGAACCGTTTCCACAGACTGGGACCAATAAGCGTAGTGTCGAGTCAGGTCAGTAATTGGATGAGGGACCACTTGGGAAAATTTGTTACTCTAAGAGACTTTCTACAATCCAAAATATCACCCGGCTTTATGTAACCCACAAAGGGTTGATAAGCCGTAAAAAACAAATCAGTCAATTGTTTTCCGGTGTATATGTAGACGGGCACATTTCTTTTTGCTTTGTTGAATTAAAATTTCTTGCCATCCTTTGTATGTCGGGTATTTCACAAATGTCTGAAAGGAATGCAGACGCGATTTTTGTTTGATTTTTTTTTTTCAAAGAATTTTATTAGTCGGATTCCGGTCAAAGAAATTGGCGTTTTGCCAGCAATTTGGCGCGTGCTGACTCCATGAACAACAATGATGACAAATGTTTTCAGTCGAAGTAGAACAACCCCTGACCCCTGAATCTGTTAGACAGCGTAGTTAGAACCTTGAGTTGATTCACTACATACAGTTTAGATTGAAGTGATTTTTTTTTACAATGATTGCATTTAGTTATAGAAGAGGGAGGAAACAAAACTTAAAAGAAGCACATGGACGATGAAGAAAATAAAGAAAGTCGTTTTAAGAAGAAGAAGCAGAAGATAAGTAAGAGAAGGAAAAGAAGAAGTAAAGAAAAGAACATACAAAGATGAAATACAAAAAAGAAGAGAAAAAGAAGTAGAAGATAGGTAAGTAAGAGAAGGAAAAGAAGAAGAAGTAAAGGAAAGAACATACAAAGATGAAATAGAAAAGAAGAGAAAACAACAACAACAAAATGGTCTTTATGTGGCATGTCCAGTCAGAACGTAGGCGATCATGGCTCTCCATACTTTCCTGTACTTTGTAGCTCTTAAGTCTTAATAAATTAGATCTTTTCGTTATTTCTCCTAAACCTTGTTCCGTAATCAGTTTATCCAAGCTCGTCAAGTTTGTTATACGTTTTTTTAGCTCTGTCCGTCTTGACCTCAATGTGTCCTATGAGTAGCAAATTTTCCAAACCCTCCTTCCTCATTATGTACCCGAGAACTTTCAACTGCTTCTTCCTGATGTTAAGTATACATTTCCTTTTTTATTTCCATTTTCTCGAAAACCTCGTCGTTGCTGACATATTCGGTTGGTGGTATCCTAAACAGTTGAACTATTCTGCAGAACCACATTTCTGTGGCTTCAAAACTGTTCCTAATCTTTGAGGAGATTTTCCAGCATTCACTATCTTATAGAAGGACAGGTATCACGTATCAGTTCAATACTCTTTTCTTTGTTTCTAACGAAGTTTTTCTGTCTCTTAATACACTGCTTTGCTTTTGGAAGGCATCTTTGGCTATCCTAATACATCTTCAGATTTCAGTGTCGCACTTTCTGTCCTCTGTTAGAACACTTTCTAGATATTTAAATTTCTGCACTTGTTTGATTTGTAATTTGCGTTTTGGGCTCATCCTTTTGCTAACAGCCATGCATTCTGTCTTCTTGCAGTTGGTGTTTAGTCCTTTCTTCTCACTTTCCTTCACTGCCTTCTGCAGGATTTTTTGTAGATTTCGTCTCTTGTCTTCCATCAACACTGTGTCATCTGTATATCTTATGTTGTTAAGATAAAATAGATCCTCGTAGGACATTTAATTCTTTCAGAATTACATCATTGTATTGAATAAGTCCGGTGAGAAGACACGTCCTTGTCTTATTTCAAGGACAGTGGATAAAGACGTGTTTTAGATCCAGTGACTAGAGTTGGGTTAAAGGGAAATAACTGAGATCATGAAGAGGCATGACACGTGGAACTAGAACAATCTACCCCGTTGGACGAAATAAAGGGTTCAGTTCAAAATTCCAATCATCTGAAGAAGGCCGGAGCTTACAACGGTAGAAACGTTGTGAATATGACAATGTAGATGAGGATAACAATGCGAATAATGCAAATAATGTAAGCAATCATAATAACTCATATCGGATATCCATTCAACTGAAGAAGGCCGGAGCGTACAACAGCCGAAACGTTGTGAATATAGCAATGTAGATGAGGATAACAGTCCATGAAATGCAAATAATGTAAGCAATCATAATACCTCATCTCAGATATCCATTCAACTGAAGAAGGCCGGGGCGCACAATGGCCGAAACGTTGTGAATATGGCAATGTAAATAAAGATAACAGTTGGAATAATTCAAATAATGCAAGTAAATAAGAAAACGTTAATGAATATATATAACATGTTTCGTTTTTATTTTAGATTCCTTATAAATTTTACCCACCCCCAAAGTTCTGATGAAGATAAAATAAAAGAGAAATATTTTAAATTTATAAACGTTTTCCTATTTGTTCCATATATAAAAGAAGAGAGAGAAAGGGAGAGTAAGGAGTTGGAGAACGAAAAGAAAAGAAGAGAAAAGAAGAAATAGAGAGAAGGGGAGAGTAAGAAGGAGAAATGAAGAATGAAAAGAAAAGAAAGGAAAAGAAGAAATAGAGAGAAAAGGAGAGTAAGGAGGAAGAATGGAAAGAAAAGAAAGGAAAAGAGGAAATAGAGAGAAAAGGAGAGTAAGGAGGAAGAATGGAAAGAAAAGAAAGGAAAAGAAGAAATAGAGAGAAAAGGAGAGTAAGGAGGAAGAATGGAAAGAAAAGAAAGGAAAAGAAGAAATAGAGAGAAAAGGAGAGTAAGGAGGAAGAGAAATGAAGAATGGAAAGAAAAGAAAGGAAAAGAAGAAATAGAGAGAAAAGGAGAGTAAGGAGGAAGAGAAATGAAGAATGGAAAGAAAAGAAAGGAAAAGAAGAAATAGAGAGAAAAGGAAGAGAGGAAGAAAAGGAGAATGGAAAGGAGGAAGAGAAAAGGAAGAATGTAAAAAGGAAGAAAAAGAAAAAGAAAAAGAAGAAAAGAGAGAAAAGGAGAGTAAAAAGGAAGAATGGAAAGAAAGAAAGGAAAGAGAAAAAAGAAGGAGGAAAATGGAAAAAAAAAAAAGGAGGAAGAAGTAAGGAGGAAGAGAAAAGAATGGAAAGAAAAAAAGGAAAAGAAGAAAGAATGGAGAGAAAAGGAAAAGAGAAATAAGAGTAAGGAGGAAGAATGGAAAGAAAAGAAAGGAAAAAGAAGAAATAGAGAGAAAAGGAGAGTAAGGAGGGAAGAGAATGAAAAGAATGGAAAGAAAAAAGAAAAGAAAAGAGGAAGAATGGAAAGAAAAGGAAAAGAGAAATAGAGGAGGAAGAATGGAGGAAGAAAAGAAAGGAAAAAGAAAGGAAAAGAGAAAAAGGAAAAGAGTAAGGAGGAAGAATGGAAAGAAAAGAAAGGAAAAGAAATAGAGAAAAGAAAGAAAGGAGAATGAAAAGAAAAGAGAGAAAAGGAGAAAGAGAAAGGAAGAAAGGAGGAAGAATGGAAAGAAAAGAAAGGAAAAGAAGAAATAGAGAGAAAAGGAGAGTAAGGAGGAAGAGAAATGAAGAATGGAAAGAAAAGAAAGGAAAAGAAGAAATAGAGAGAAAAGGAGAGTAAGGAGGAAGAATGGAAAGAAAAGAAAGGAAAAGAGGAAATAGAGAGAAAAGGAGAGTAAGGAGGAAGAATGGAAAGAAAAGAAAGGAAAAGAGGAAATAGAGAGAAAAGGAGAGTAAGGAGGAAGAATGGAAAGAAAAGAAAGGAAAAGAAGAAAGAAGAGAGAAAAGGAGAGTAAGGAGGAAGAATGGAAAAAAAAAAGAAAGGAAAATAGAAGAAATAAGAGGAAAATGGAAAGAAAAGAAAGGAAAAGAAGAAATAGGAAAAGAAAAGAAATGGGAAAAGAAGAAAGAAGAGAGAAAAGGAGTAAGGAAGGAGGAAGAATGGAAAGAAAAGAAAGGAAAAGAAGAAATAGAGAGAAAAAGGAAGAATGGAAAGAAAAGAAAAGAAGAAATGAAGAATGGAAAGAAAAAGAATGGAAAGAAAAAAGAAGAAATAGAGAGAAAAGGAGAAAAAGGAAGAAGAGAAATGAAGAATGGAAAGAGGAAAAGAAAGGAAAAGAAAGGAAATAGAGAGAAAAGGAGAGGAAGAATGGAAAGAAAAGAAAGAATTGAAAGAAAAGAAAGTAAAAGAAAATGGAAAGAAAAAAAGAAAAGAAATAGAGAGAAAAGGAGAGTAAGGAGGAAGAATGGAAAGAAAAAAAAGGAAAAGAAGAAATAGAGAGAAAAGAGAGTAAGGAGGAAGAAATGAAGAATGGAAAGAAAAGAAAGGAAAAAAGAAGAAAAAGAGGAGGAAAAGGAAGAAAAGAAAGGAAAAGAAGAAATAAGGAAAAGGAAGAATGGAAATGAAAGAAAAGAAAGGAAAAGAAGAAATAGAGAGAAAAGGAGAGTAAGGAGGAAGAATGGAAAAAGAAAAGAAAAAGGAAAAGAGAGAAAAGGAGAGTAAGGAGAGAAAAAGGAAAGAAAGGAAAGGAAGAATGGAAAGAAAAGAAAGGAAAAGAGGAAATAGAGAGAAAAGGAGAGTAAGGAGGAAGAATGGAAAGAAAAAGAAAGGAAAAGAAGAAATAGAGAGAAAAGGAGAGTAAGGAGGAAGAATGAAAATGGAAAAAAGAAAGGAAAAGAGGAAATAGAGAGAAAAGGAGAGTAAGGAGGAAGAATGGAAAGAAAAGAAAAAGAGAAAAAATAGTAAGAGAAAATGGAAGAAAAAGGAGAGTAAGGAGGAAGAATGGAAAGAAAAGAAAGGAAAAGAAGAAATAAAGAGAAAAGGAGAGTAAGGAGGAAGAATGGAAAGAAAAGAAAAAAAGAGGAAATGGAAAGAGAAAAGGAGAGAAAAAGGAGGAAGAATGGAAAGAAAAGAAAGGAAAAGAAGAAATAGAGAGAAAAGGAGAGAATGGAAGAAAAGAAAGGAGAAGAAGAATGGAAGAATGGAAAGAAAAGAAAAGAAAAGAAGAAAGAGAAAAGGAGAGAAGAAAAGGAGGAAGAGAAATGAAGAATGGAAAGAAAAGAAAGGAAAAGAATGGAAGAAAGAGAGAAAAAGAGAGAGAAAAGGAGGAAGAGGAAGGAAGAATGGAAAGAAAAGAAAGGAAAAGAAGAAATAGAGAGAAAAGGAGAGTAAGGAGGAAGAATGGAAAGAAAAAGAAAAGGAAAAGAAAAGAAATAGAGAGAAAAGGAGGAGGAGGTAGAGAAATGAAGAATGGAAAGAAAAGAAAGGAAAAGAAGAAATAGAGAGAAAAGGAGAAAAGGAGGAAGAGAAATGAAGAATGGAAAGAAAAAAAAGGAAAAGAAGAAATAGAGAGAAAAGGAGAGAAAGGAGGAAGAGAAATGAAGAATGGAAAGAAAAGAAAAAAAGGAAAGAGGAAATAGAGAGAAAAGGAGAGTAAGGAGGAAGAATGGAAAAGAAAAAAGAAAGGAAAAAGGAAATAGAGAGAAAATGGAGAGAAAAGGAGGAAGAATGGAAAAAGAAAAGAAAAGGAAAAGAAAGAAAAGAGAGAAAAGGAGAGTAAGGAGGAAGAATGGAAAGAAAAGAAAAAGGAAGAGGAAATAGAGAGAAAAAAAGGAGAGTAAGGAGGAAGAATGGAAAGAAAAGAAAGGAAAAGAAGAAATATAGAGAAAAGGAGAGTAAGGAGGAAGAATGGAAAGAAAAGAAAAAGGAAAAGAAGAAACGGAGAGAAAAGGAGAGTAAGGAGGAAAAGAGAAATGAAGAATGGAAAGAAAAGAAAGGAAAAGAAGAAATAGAGAAAAAAGAGAGTAAGGAGGAAGAGAATTGAAGAATGGAAAGAAAAGAAAGGAAAAAGAAGAAATAGAGAGAAAAGGAGAGTAAGGAGGAAGAATGGAAAAAAAAAAGAAAGGAAAAGAGGAAATAGAGAGAAAAAGAGAGAGTAAGGAGGAAGAATGGAAAGAAAAGAAAGGAAAAGAGGAAATAGAGAGAAAAGGAGAGTAAGGAGGAAGAATGGAAAGAAAAAAGAAAAGGAAAAGTGGAAATAGAGAGAAAAGGAGAGTAACGAGGAAGAATGGAAAGAAAAGAAAGGAAAAGAAGAAATAGAGAGAAAAGGAGAGTAAGGAGGAAGAGAAATGAAGAATGGAAAGAAAAGAAAGGAAAAGAAGAAATAGAGAGAAAAGGAGAGTAAGGAGGAAAAGAGAAATGAAGAAGAAAAAGAAAAGAAAGGAAAAGAAGAAAAAAGAGAGAAAAGAGAAAGGAGAGTAAGTAGGAAGAATGGAAAGAAAAGAAAGGAAAAGAAGAAATAGAGAGAAGGGGAGAGTAAGGAGGAAGAGAAATGAAGAATGGAAAGAAAAGAAAGACGATAAATAAAGAAGTAGATAAAATGAATATTTTAAAAAAGACTATGGAATAAAGTTAAGTGAGAGAGAACTTGAAACAAAGAATTTTAAGAAATAACTTGGAAAAGAAAAGGAAAAAAGAAAAAAGAGGAAAGACGAAATGTAAGAAGAAATAAAGAAGAAAAATAAGTTGTGGGAAAGAAACAAAGAAAGAAACAAGAAATGAGAAAGTAAAAAAAAACAATAACAAAAATGAGGAAGCGAAAAATAAGGAGAAAGAGAGTATACGTGAGATAGAGAGAGAGGGGGGAAAGAGAAAGAGAGTGAGATATGAAATTAGAAGTGAGAGAAAGAGAAAAAGAGATTAAAAGAGGATGAGAGAACAAGAGAAAGAGAGAGATAAAAGTGGAATGGAGAGAAAGAGAAGGTGAACTAAAAAATGAAGAGCGAGTGAGAAATGGAAAGAGAGAAGGAAATAGAGAGAAAGAGAAAGATAAAAAGAGGGAGAGATAAAAGTAGAAGGAGAGAAAGAGAAAAGAGATAAAAAGTGGAAGAGAGAAAGAGAGAAAGAGAGAGATAAAAGTGGAATGGAGAGAAAGAGAAGGGAGATAAAAAAGGAAGAGAGTGAGAGAAAGAGAGAGAGAAAGAAAAAGAAAAAGAAAGAGAGAGATTGAGCGAGAGCGAGAAAGAGAGAAAGTGAAAGAGTTAAGAGCGAAAAAGAGAAAGAGAGATAAAAAGAGGAAGAGAGCTAGAGAGAGAGAGAGAGAGAGAGAGAGAGAGAGAGAGAGAGTGAAATGATGTAAGAGACGGAGAAGTCAAAAGAATAAAAAGAAGAGGGTCATATCGTTGGAAAAGTAACGCCGAAATAGACGCCTTGCACCAGTAAGTCTAAAACTTGTCGCCGAGTGAGGACTCGTTTCAAATACATGACCCCATTCCCACGTCAAGGAAAAAAAAAAAAAAAAAAGAAATAAAATAAAAAAATAAAACAAAAAAATTACAGACACTTCGTTTTTTATTTCCTGTCAAATATCAATGTTCGGAAATAGGACGAGATAGTAATGGGAGGGGGGTCGGGCGGCTCCAGGGGGTATTGGGGGGGTTACAGTCTCACAGTGAACAGGGAGTGTGGTTATTGATGGAGGCTCTTGGGGTCTGCATGAATTCATTTATTCTCTCTCACTAGCGCTTGTGCATTTCTATATGTCTGCGTATATAATTATTTACAAGGATGGATTTTACAAGTTTAAAAATGGAAGCTAAGCACTGGAAAGTAGGCGCCAATTAATGTAAGGTTTGAAATGTGATATTTCCTCTGTTTGAGGTCACCAAGCTTTAAAATTCGGTTCCTGTCTGATATTATGGTTGCCAGGACAATGCTCTGATACTAAGATAAAAATTAAGCATGTTGTTGATTTAAAGAAAATATTTGCCCGGAAGAAATAACCCGTAAGAAGTGACAAAAGATCTGTGAATTGTATCAAATACCTGAAAGCACCTGCTTGGCATAATTCCGGGTCACTTTTGGGCAATGTTTAAAAAAATATCCTCTCACTGGCAAGCGATTAAATCAAATATCCAGTAAAAAAATGTTTAGATACAATTTAATAATTTGACATTAATTTGTAGATTCAAAAGTTACCTTTGCGCTATGGACATCGAAGATTTTTCCAGCATATGATTTATACATAAATCTCTTTAAGAGTAGAATAACAGAAGACAGAACAAGTGAAAACTGCTGTTTTCAAAGTGATTTTTCAAGTGTAGCTTAGATGTGTCACAAGGCTGAAAGTATGGGGCACCCAGTGAGGATCGAACTCACTACCCAGTCGTAATTGTTCTAGCGAGACAAGCTTGCTAACTATTACACCGCCTCGAGGTGCCCAAACTGCTGTTGTTATATTGTGGCTATTTTCTTGAAGAAGGCATGAAATTAATTTCCCTTTTGCTTTACCAGCTGTCAAGTAACGTTAACCCATATCTTTAAATTGGCATCTTTTTTCTATATATTATAATCATTTTATTTAAACTACATATTTTCTTGATTTCAGATAAGAATTTAGAAATTTTTCAATTTCCAAAATTATAATTTATACTTTAAGGAAGAAATTATATCGAAAAATTAATAATAACATTATTACCAACAATAAACACCCGCCTAAAACATAATACTCCGTCGCCATCTTTCTTTGAATCCAGTCTTAAAGAATCTAACTTATATCTATGTAATACAAAGAATACATTTTTCTTAAATAGGCCTGTCTTGTGACATACTGTTGCGCGGGTTGACCACACAGCAATGAAGATAGAACTCCAAGTAGACAGACACACACACGCAATTAAAAATATACATTACCATCCAATGTCCACTTAGACATACGAGAATCTTCACAAACCTACATCCACATAGAATTAGCTACCGTTTTAATACACGTGACGATGCTTTAACAAAAGTGAAACATATTAGATTCATACATATTTCCTATATGTTCTTTTATTTTATCATAGATACCTTCACAGAAACGCGATACCTAAGGTTTAAAATTAATTTAAAAAAAATGAAAAATCTTTCTTGATGCTTTTATTTTAGTTTTAATTTCATGCCAATATATTAAATTTAATATTTCCAATAAGTAAAATCCTTTACTGTATTTCAAAACGAGTTTAAAATTGACTAGAAGGATTGTTTGTTTGATTTGTTTGTTCAACAGCATATCAACACCTTATGGGTCATTTACAGCCGAAATTTAATTTTCTTGGTTGTCTTGAAGTAATAAAAATATAATATAAGTTATTATGCTTTCGCAATTGAATCCATGGTAGATGATACTGAGCTTTTGGGCATATACATATTTGTGTGGGAAAAATTACTGAAGGCATGATATGTGTGTTTTTATGTTGTAGTTTTGTTGAAGTTATATTTTGGACTATAGTTTGATTTCTTTAAGAAATTGTTGGATATTATATGAATTAATGTCATGAAAGAATTCTTTTATGTTTGTTTGTATAGTAGTCGCTACAACTGCTATAAATAAAGTTGGTAATTTTACTGTAAACAGGTATTGTTGGTAATTTTACTATAAATAAGTTTTTGTTGGTAGTTTTTTTTTTATATAACAAGGTATTGCTGGTATTTTACTATAAAAATATATTTTATTTAAATAATTCTTCGAGTCTGAAAGAAACCTCAATAGAATGCAGAAAGCACTGGACGGCCGTTTCGTCCTATATTTGGGACTAGTCAGCGGTGCGTATCCACTACCGAGAATTGAAACCCTGACAGTTAGATCGTCAAGCAAACACCACACCAACTGTTCCAATCAAATACATGTTCTATCAAAAATATCTTATACTTCTGTAGTATTTTGTGTCTAAAAGGGGGGTTCACTATTTCCCCATAAATGGAACCCTAACACGTGCTACCATTCCGGGTCAAGATAAACCTGGGAACAACAGGGATTAAGAGGTTCCACGCTCCTCAAAACATCTGTTGTGATGTGGGGTCTGGCAAGACACAACACTTAACTCGATTAAGTCATTCGTGATAGTAGTAACCAATACTCAGCTAGACAAGTCACTGCAATCGTATTATCTTCTAGATAATCACCCAGGACTACTTATCATGAATGGATCAGGCCATTCATGATAGTAAAGAGGATAACTGGCTCTTACATCATTATCTCCCTTCTTACAGTAGATTTTTTTTTTTTTTTTTAAGCGTTTCACCCCAAGCAAGGCGAGAAGCCACTAGGACGCAAGGGGTTACAGAAGATTTGGAGCAAGATCAGATAGTAGTGATAGAGGAAAGGATGAGGAGAAGGATAGTGGCTAGATCAAGGCAACTGGAGATGTCGATTGACATTACATTTGAATAGCTGGAGATTATAGCTCTCAGGGAAACTGGAATAGGGAAGGGAGTTCCACGGGCGAGACGTGCGAGACATGAAGCTATTGGAGTAAAAGAGACGGCTACATTTAGGAGTTTCGACAGTGAAAGGGTGAGAGCGGGATGCCAGCCTCCTAGGGCGCTTGAACTCATGAAGTCTGGGAACCAGCGAATGCAGCTCCTCGGAGCAATTGCCATGAAAGTATTTGTAAAACAGACAGAGTTGAGTTAAGAGCCAACTCTTCTGTAGGCTGCCTCTTCCTTTTACTTAAGCGTGTGGTTTCCAGATATATCTGGAGCATAGGTACATCGTCACAGAGAACCACCATCGGCTCCTCCTCTCGAATGCTCTGTTCATCCAAAGTACCTTTTTTCTTATTTGATTTCGATGTCTTTTATGCACCCATTTAAACTCTTTTACATTCTACAATAGCTTTCCGATTCGTCTCCCGACTACACCATCTTCCAAGCATTCCTTTCCATTTTTGTAAATTCGAAAGAACATTTTTTCCCCGGCTTTGAAGTATTTCTGGGTATCGGATTTTTCATGTTTCCGACCCTTTTTTTTAATTCCTCAACTGTTTGTCAAACACCAATCCAATTTTCTTTGCGAACATTCGTTCTACTGGAGACATACCTTATACCGTGTTAGAGTTAGGTGTCACCCGATATACACATACAACTGCTGTAATAACATATCCTTAGTTTGTTTGAGTGTATCGATGAAACGATCTGCCTGTCAGTTCGATTTTGAATCGTAGGAGGGTTGATATGTTGTATCGCAAAGGTTTTACAAAATCCTTCCAAACAATTTAACAGGGAATTGCGTGGCGTGGACCTGACCAATGGTATCCGGGATACCGTGTCTAGCAAATAATTCATGCAAGAGATTTATTGTAACTGTTACATTTTAAAATTTCTGGCCATCTGGAAAAAACTGTCGACAACGGTTAAGTAGCAGACACCATTTATCTGCCCATTTTCAACCCCTAAAATAGATAACAATAGACGGGGGTCAGTCTGTAGGGTGACCCTTCTATCATGGATGAATTTGTGACATTTTTTCAAAGCAAAAATTATTCCCAACGCCTCTTTCTCTGTCTGATTGTAATTCTTCTCAGCCGATAAAAATTTTCTTGACGCATGCGCTATCGATTTTACAGAACTATCTTTGTCCTTATGCAAAATTACGGTAACGATATCGTAGTTACTAGCATCGCTCGCCACGATTATTTCTAATTTTGGATCAAAATACGAGAGAAAAAATTTCGACGTTAGAATCATTTTAATTCTTTCCTAATGTTATTTGGCCAAATTCCACTTGTAGTCTATTTTTAGTAAATTAATGGTGCTCGCAAAAATGCATATTCGGAATAAAAACATTATGATAATTTGCGAAAACTAGAAATACTTATAAAGATGACATTTGTTGGTTAGGGCATATTTGTAATAGCACTTGCACTGGTTGGTTATAGTTTCCCGATTTGGCCCAAATATTTAATTTTGATGATGAAAAATTTGCATTTCTCATCACTCAATTTAAACCCATATTCATTTATTTTTCTGAATACCTTATTTACGTGCTAAATATGCTACTCTCGATTTTCATTTTTTATTAAAATGTCATCAAACTCGGCGATCGCGAAGTTTAGATCGTTCAACATTGTGTTCATTACTTATTGAAAAATTCCAGGTGCTACCTTGATTCCAAAAGGTAAACTGTTAACCTTGTATAAATTTCTTGTTGGTATTGATTATTAACAGTTTTAAACATTTTTCGTCAAACTGCATTTGCAAATATGCATATGGCATGTCCAAATTTTAAAAAAGTACTTTCCGACATTTAATTTTGCGAAAATTTCTTCTGGGCTTGGCAGGGGGCAATTGTCAACTTGTAGGTAATCATCCCCGAGGAGAAATTGGCACATATACGGATTTTGTTATTTTTCTTTTTCTACGTAGATGGTCGGTGAGGCCCAATAGCTATAATCCATTTTGTTGATCCCACCCATATTTTCCAAGCGATATAATTCATTCTTTATAGTATTCAAAGCTGAAAAAGGCATATTCCTCTTTGATCTAAAAATTGGTACTGTAATTTCCTCTAGCTGGAACTTGGCGTTAATTGTTTGTATCCTACCCCCCCCAGAAAAAAAAACTTCCGGAAATTGATTTTTCAATTCTATTTTTAACCTTTCAAAGTTACTAGAAGAATCATTATTACAAATACCTTAATTGAACAGTTGCATCCAATCTATTCCGGACAAGTTATAAGTTCTTTCCATCACGAATACTTTAGTCTTCATCACTTTCCCATAAAATGATACATCTGATATGAACTCACCTTTAAATTTAGATTTCTGCCAAGTAATGCTCTGAGCAATATTTTTGGGTAATGGTAATATTATCGGCTAATCGCTGTAAAGCAAAACGGAATCTTAAAATATTTAAAACTTATAAATTATTATAATTAAAATTACAAAACATTAAAACAATTCTTGTAAAAATTCATCAAGCATCGAGATTTTTTTTTCTTAAGACAATAGTGTCCATAATATATGTATTGTGAGACCGTAACATACCTACAACATGTACTCTTTCAGGACTATATAAAGTATGCGACATAACACTCTAGAGAGAGAAGAAGAAGAGAAGGAAAGAGAGAGTATTCTAATACCGTAGTATCGGCCGCGTACGACTAACAATATTGGACACTAGCACATAGTAAGCTCCGCTTACACTTACACTATCTTTGTAACCTTTTTGTTTAATATATCTTTCTTACCTCTAATCCGTGTTCCGTCTTTTCCTTCCGTGGTCCCAACTTTGGCTCCACATCTGTGTCGACGAAGAATTCGAGAAACGCATTCACGTCGAAAACCGCAATACCTTGCCAGTCCCACATTAGTGGCGACAGAAAGATTCGAGAATTTCGTTCTCACCATATCAATAGCGACAGTACTCGAAAGATACACAGAAACTCCACGCGTTCTCACAGTAGTGTTGAACGAGAAATTAAGCTGGTATTACTACATTAGCGATTTAAACACAACACCTAGCGTCAACATATAAAAAAAAATATTCCGATACCAAACAGCAGTGACGAACTAGCGATTCGACATCTACGGAATATTAAAGTCTGTCCAAATAACATTACGAGAACGATTTCTTACACACACAGAAAAAAAAACAGTTTGTTCATAAAACAAACTGACAACACAAGAGCCGAAGTAGTATTTACGATTCAAGTTTTCGAAAAAAACTATCTAAAATTTTTTTTTATGTAACTGAGTTGAACTCGTGCATAAAATTATTCTCCCCTCTAATTCACCGAGGCGAGTTTTCTCTTTTTTGTACCTCTAAAAAAAATGCATAAGTGTGGTGAAAATTTATACAATTACGTTAAAATTGACGGAACCACGGAATCGCAAAAAAGCTAAACACATAATTAGTTCAGTTTAACTAATTGTCTGTCCATATTTTTTTTTGTGTAAAAGAAAAAAACGAGAAAAAAAACCTATCAAGATTTTTTGTGTCCCTCCCCTTGGTACACGGGTTTCAAAGCAACAAAAAATCGCTGTCATTTTTAAATATGGAAGATTTTCAAAAAGCAGTTGACCAAATAGTAAAACTAAATTTGGATCAGCAACAAAAATCAGAAGAAAGACAACAACAACTATTTTTGGAATTACATAAACAACAAATGGAATTCCAACGAATTACGCTTCAGAATGCTGAACTACAACAGAAACAACTTAAAGAATTACTCGTAAATGCATTAAAAGGCTCAAACACTGAAAAAGATACAATATTCTCCCAGAGTACAATCTACAATTCAATGGAAACCTTTGAATACGTACCAGAGAACGACAAAACGTTTTAGGCTTTTTACAGGCGCTACGAAGATATTTTCAACGTAGACTGAACAATGGCCCAGTAAAAAAAAGGTACGTCTAATATTGAGAAAACTGGGAACTACAGAACATAGTAGGTTCGTGGACTTCATACTACCCAAGAAAACCACTGACTTGGATTTTTCAGAGACTATTAAGCTCCTATCGGAACTATTCGGGCCTAACACAACCTTGTTCCACAAACGTTGGAAATGCAAAGACAAAGACAACCAGCAAGATTTTCTAACGTTTGCAGCATCGGTAAACAAGCTCTGTAATGATTGTAAACTAGCCGAACTGACTGCCGATGATTTCAAGTGCTTAATTTTCGCACAAGGTCAAGTATCAGCAGAAGACGCCGAAATCAGACGACGGGTACTGACCAAGCTTGAGAACGAACAAGGATTAACTCTCCAAAAACTGGCAGAGGACTGTCAAAGAGTAATATCTGTAAAGTGTGACTCAAACACTACCGAGGAATCAGGTGTGGCTCAGATTAATAAAATCAGAAGTAAGTCTACCTCCTATTCCCCTGAAAAAGACAAAAGGCAAATCTCATGTCCTAAATTCTGCAGTAACCAAAAGCCAAATAGGTTAAAGAAACCGCCCGGACCATGTTACCATTGTGGTAAATGGCACTGGATGAAATTCTCTCCAGTTAAGAACAAAAAATATTGCAAAAATTGCAATAAAAGTGGGCATACTTTAACTTCGTGCTGGTACGCCAACAGAACGAGAAAACCCAAAAATAAAATTAGGCAAGCTCAATCTGACGATATTGCCGATAGGGATTTAAGGAAATATGTAACTGTGGATATTTTCAATAAGTCCATTAAATTCCAGCTTGACTCGGGTTCCGATCTTTCAACCATTAATTGGCGTACTTGGCGAAAATTAAACAAGCCGACCTTATTAAAAACGGATAAAACAGCAAAATCCGTAACTGGCGAAAAGATTAACATTTTAGGCGAGGTAATACTTACAGTAACACTAAATGGAGTTACCAAAAAGCTCAAAGCCTACGTATTAAAAACTTCAGATAACTTATTTGGAACAGTTTGGATAGAAAAATTCAATCTTTGGGATTGCCCAATGAGTACATTTTGTTGCAAGATACAAAGTACAACGTCCAATTTGGTAAATCTAAAAAAGGAACAAAACAATTTCCCCAGGTTTTTTTCTGGCGGCCTTGGGAAATGTACTAAAATGAAAGCTAAGTTCAAGGTGAAGGACGGTGCACAACCGTTATTAAAAAAAAAACGGGATGTCCCTTTCGCTGCTCTAGAGCAAATCAACAAAGAGTTAGATAGACTCGAACAAGCAGGTATTCTATCAAAAACAGATTTCAGCGAGTGGGCAACACCTACGGTCTACGTAAAAAAGAAGTCCAATCAAATACGAGTATGCGC